ATAATGGAAGCGTTTTACCTACCAATAAAACGCATATTAATTTACTTACCTTATTCGAAGCTTATTTAATTGAGATAGGCCTTCCGCTTCCCTCCTTCCGCTTTTCCTGTATGTCTATCTCTTTCTACTACGTCACTTCCATTTGGCAGTGGTGGGGAGGCTTGCTAAGAGAGACTCGCCATTTTTATTTCATTGAGTCTCATTACCAGGCAGAGCTTGACTATAAGCTTCGAATAAGGTAAGTAAATTAATATGCGTTTTATTGGTAGGTAAAACGCTTCCATTCCCATTAGAAAGAAAAAGGTCTGGCTGGGGTAACGTTACCCCAGCAGGAAATATTTTTGTGAAATAATTAAAAAACTATAAGCGCAACAAATTTAAAAATTACAGAAGCCGCACAACTAATTATCTATAAGAATCAAATGACCATTTTCGACAAAATCTGGCCTGGGTAACACACACCTGGCACTGGAAAAACACAAGTAATTTACAGGAAGATCTGAATGATTACTAAATGGCTGAAGGGCTCGAGATGAAATTTGTAACAGGGGTAGATTTTGGTCTACAATAACACTAACCAACTAATGGTCAGTAAATGCGATTCAGAATTTAACTACAGAAAAAGGGCCATACTTTTGCTTATCTCTTTGTGGAACATCTTCTAATTACAATCAAAATCTACGTCAAAGCATTTATTTCATCAATAAAGACCAATTATACTCACTTTCCATATCCAAAAACTCATTAACCTCCTTAACAGTACCAAAGATTTTGATGAAATCTAAACTGGACTCTATGGGTTCATAAAGCACTCCTTCGTCAACCTCATTACTGCCTGCAGCTCCCTCAGCTTTGTCCCCTGATTGTGCCAGAACATGATCTCCCTTCTCATCTATTATGGAACCATTTTCTTTAGATGGGGATGGAATTACTTTTTGTTCAGTGGGGCTAGTTGAACCACTTTCGCGATTTTCTTTAAGTTTATATTCATTCTTCTCTAGCCACATTTGCAACATTTTTCTAGGTGCGTCTAACCGTCTGATGGGGTCATTGAACTGTTTAAACATGATTGGTAGGAGGAATCTCTTCGTCGGCTTGCTATATTTGCTGGTAAGTGCAGTTTGTAGTGCTACATGCTCTTCCTCTCCTGAGCTTACGTCCACGACTCCTTTTTTCCCTTTTCTGCGTTGTCGCTTCTTGGCTACGGTGCCGGATTCGGCTGTGGAAGGTTTTTTATATTAAATTAGGTATTAGCGAAAACATTAGACTGCTTAAATATATTCATGGTTTCTTAAGAAATTAAATGGAATGTATTTGCACAGTTTTCAGTTCAGTAAGTTATAAAACATAAGAAAAACCCAGTATCGCAAAATATCAACTGAGAACATCTTTAACTCGTCGAGTACCGTCATTATAGACACAATTATAGAACAATAGGTTGCGGTCACCGGTGACCGCTTGGTGTTTGACAGTTTAAGTTTGCTTTCTATGTCAATTTTCTATTTGTTATTACACACTGTGTCTTATATCATTATTACTTTTCTTGCCACAGGTCCACAGGAAGAAATTTCAATAGGAATAAGTACTACTTTTGTACTTCAATCTTATGTATGTGTTGTTCTTTGTGTTGTATGTGTGCATTAACATATACTAATGGACATACCTTAGAGATGAGAATTGTGGCACTCCGAAAGAAAGAGAGGAAACAAAGTTTCGGTCTATCTTTATCTCTCTCAAAATAGTACCTTAGTTAAGACGTTATGAGCGAGAAAGAGATAGCGCTAGACCGAAAGCATAGGCCATCTCTCTCACTCTTTTCAAACCAAAATATTACTGCAGATTATACGCGTACGGCATGTCCATTAGTATATGTCGATGTATGTGTGTACATAAATCCTTACTAATATTATAAATCGGAAAGTGAGTTTGTTTGTTTGTTTGTTTGTTCTGCTTTCACGCCGTAACTACTAAACTTTGAATTTTTGCAAACGTAAAGTTGGAAGTCCGGATTAAATAATAGGGTACTTTTTATCCCGGAAAAATTTGATATTCCCAAGGGAAAACAAAAGTATTGGTATAGATGGCGCTGTGTGTATTGTTATCTGTCACATAGGCTACTTTTTATCCTTTTGTGACGCGAGCAAAGCCGCGGGTAAAAGCTAGTAGTAAAATAAATAAACCTTTAAACATTGCGACTAAGCATACAAATGAAATAAATATGAATCTTTTAATGTTCCTTACCAACAAAATTCTCAGTTTTATGTTCGTTGATGTTCCACAACCTGAGACAGAACTCCCCGCCGCCCGTCATGACGTAGTCAGCTAGCTGTGGCTGAGACATCCAACATAATCCTAGTGACACAGTCGAGTGGCCAGCGAATATTGATATACAGATACCCGTTGATACATCCCATACCTGTAGAATAACATTCCATTATAGTCTCACTAATACTACTAGTGGTTAAATAACTTACACTAGACAGCTACATACAAAACGAAAATTATTAATTTAAAAAAAAATTAAAAAAAAATATTAGCTCTCAATATTTACGTACGTGTGGGAGAGCCTCGACTGGAGTGATACCACGGCATCGTAGAAAACCGACGTGGAACAACGCAACTTGTGAACGAACGAACAGTGAAATTCCCGAAGGCCCAAATACCCCCTTCCCCAGTCTCCCCAATCCCCGAATCCCCCACAACCTCAAATTCCCAAATTCTAAAAGGCCAGTAGGGCACTTGTAATGCCTGTGGTGTTTCGGGTGTCCATGGGCGGCGCCGATTGCTTACCATCAGGTAATCCGTCTACTCGTATATTGCATAAAAAAAATACGTCATAATAATTAATTAATGCATTCATAAGGTGACATACTGTAGTACATTTGGTGACATATACAGTATGTCACCAAATGTACTTTGATTGTGTACGTATTTTTGTATCTCATACAAATAACAGTAGACAAAAAGTTGAACTAGAGAAAGCCTATTATAGTCAAGTAGTGGATTATCAGTCTGTTGATGTAAATACTTACCCTAACAGTAGTGTCCTGTGAGGAGGACAGTAATATTCCTTCACGATGTGGGTTCCAAGTGGCTTGGAGCACTGCCTTCGTGTGGCCATACAACATCTTCCATGTGGTCAACTTTTTTGACCCATCTGAAATAGTTAGTAGATGTTCTATTACACACACGAACAACTTAAAGAATGGCGTACATGGTCAAATCAAATTCCCCAATGCTCCAATGAGACTGGCAAACTTCCATAAGCCTCAACGAACAAAAATTAAAAACTGTGATGCGATCAAGTATACCCGAGCACGTACAAACGTTTTCCGATTACTTTCGAGCGTATCTCGAAAGCGATTGACCTTTACTCGATGTATTTCGAGCGTTACTCGAAAACCATCCATAGTCTTCGATCACTTTCGAGGATAACACAAAACTAGCATATAATTAATGCCCAATGCCTCTTTAAAAAACAAGTAAAACCTAAAATCATAAGAATAAGTTGCTAGAACGAAAAGAACCTTCTGCAGTGACATATTCTACAATAGCAATGCCACAATCTTTATCCAAGGAGGTGACAGCAATGAAGTTCTTGTATGGAGACTCCTCAGTCGAACTCGATGTCTGTTGTGGGTGCCACTCGATTGCATGTATCATTTTACTAGAAAAGAAATAAAAATATGGTTATTCCTTTTAACAACTAACAAAATAGTCTGAATAAGACTATTGTCTTTTACTTATTAGTAAACCACTATAAAATTATTATTAATTGTTTACGTTTGGTAAAAAAAAAAACAAAGAATATGTCCACAGATGATTTAAAGATTTTTATTGTTTTAAAAAACTTTGCCCCACATTAGGATTTTCTCCTGTGTTATGGGTGCGTTTACAAACATACAAGTTCACATATATAATAACACCCACACCCGAAACAACAATTTGTGGATCACACACAAAGTGTTGTTCCGTGCGGGAATCGAACCCGCGACACGTTGTACGGCAGCCGGTTGCCCAGCCACCGCACCAACCGTGCAGTTTTATTCAAAGATGCTCAATTACTTTCAAGCCAAACTGGGACTATATGGGAACTGGGATATACTATGTTTCTCGTGTAATATTGTTACAGATTAACCTCAGGATTTTAGATACTTACCTAAAGACGAAATTGGCAACGATGAGTGTGTGTGGGTGGCTGGGAGTGAGTAGAGCGACCCCGCCATTGGCTGAGCCCACGAAGAGCCCACGAGGGAACCATGACACCGCACATATTTCCCACTTCTGACCTTCTATTGTTATGTCCAGCAGTTGGGGATCTGTTGGATACAAAAAAAAATTATTGTTAATAACATCACAGTAATATTATATATAGTAGTTTCTTTGTTTGGATATTTAGAGTTTGTTCGTCAATCATGCTGAAACTGCTGAACAGATTTCGATGAAACTTGGTACACACCCTGGGCTGACTTGGGTGGTAGAATTTTATCCTGATTAAATGCTCCCATCTGATAAAACAGGAATAAATGGGCAAGGCCGTGGGCGCTAGTTAATAATATTGTACGATTAAGGTACTGTTTGACAAGGTACCTCAATTAGTTTCAAGTCACGCTGGGGCCTCACAACCATGAACAGCAATGAGCGACAGACGACACAGCGAATGTCGCGTAGTTAATTGGGTACGTGGTTTGAATCTAGTCAGACATGTTGACTCGTAAAACAGTTATGAGAGTACCATACAACATTTTACGAAACTGAACTAAAAGAAATAAGGACAATACCACTGTCTCCTTCTTTCACTACAACATACCTTCGTTATATCGTTGGGCGTTATACATGACCAGTTTGCATCCGCCACTGGCGTACAGGTTCATATCTTCTCCCCAACTCAGAGAATACACGCCGTGACTGAGAGCACAGTTCAATACTCGGCCTGATTCCGATTTGATGCTAGTGTCTATTACACCAACCTGTTACATCAGATATAGACATGCGTATAAGAAAGCTGAATTAATGAAATAAAGAAAATTAATGAAATAAAGCAGAATTATTAAATTGACTGCCTCGTTGGTCGAGTGGTGGCAAGTGCGACTGCCGGGCAAGGGGTCTCAGGTTCGATTCCCAGGTCGGGCAAAGTATTACTGGTTTTTATAAATTCTCAGTAGTAGCACAGGGTCAGTCAATTGTGCCCGGTATATGGCAATAGGCTCACCCCCTATTACATGGGACTCATAACATACCTAAATAGTGAAAAGTGGGTGTTACATTGTAGTGGCATAATGTATACCTCTGCCTACCCCTTCGGGGATAAGAGGCGTGATGTTATGTTATGTGTTGATGGGGCAGATATTAAAGTTTTTTTTTTGTTTTTTAACGTTGCACACAAAGATGTGTACCGTTCGGAAATCGAACCCGTTACAAGTCGGTCGGGCCCCAGGTGTAATGGTAAAGACAGTACTAGTTGCGACTTCATCATAGTGCAAGTACACAAATGTGGAGCACTTCAGCGGAAGTCAATAAGCCTTTTAACATTTTTCACTTTTGAGTTCTAGAATTCTATCATTTATGCATGACTACTTTTTTCATAAAACTGAAAAAGATTTATTAGTAGACTGACTAAGGTCAAAGATGGATAGACTTAATGAAGAATGATATAAAAGAGAAAGGAGTTTGTGATAAGAAAAATGAAAAAAAAAACCATTTAACAACAAATCATACTAACCGCTTGAATGCGCAGATATGAGACAATAGAAAATACATTGTGTCTCGCGTGGATCCACGTTTAGACACATGAGAGGTTAAGCAAATTTTAAGTCTTGGAATAAGGCGAGATGAGTACTCACTCGAGATTCTCCAGTAGAATAAGCTAGTACATTCTCTCTGGTGGGATGCCAGGCGACGTTGAGGACTTTTCCTTGAACATTCTGCCAGTAGGAGTAGACCCTTGGAGGTGTGAGCTTCATGTCATCGTCTACAAGGGTATTACTCTCCATTACGCGGACCGCGCCATCTCCCACACTTACTGCTACCCTGGTAGTGAGAAATTAATTATGTCAGTGCCAAAAGCAAATTTAAGTAATTATTTTTAGTGATTTAACTTATGTTACACATTAAAAAAATTAATAAATTTTCTTTAAACATGAAAATTTGAAGATATGAATAATGATGACTATGAAGTCGGTATGTCGAATAATAAATTATGACTCGGATTAGCATGATGTATGATAAAGACTTGATTGAACCTATTTCACAAGTAATAATTCAGAAAATTAAACATGAAAGTATCTAACAAACAAAATAATATGGCATTTACCTTCCAGCATCATAAGGGCAAACAGCCACCGCATAAACAGAACCCCCCGCAGTGGGAATGATAGCCAAAGTCTTTTTCTTCTTCATACAATATCGTATAATAGTCCTGTCCTGTGCTACGGTCCACACGGACCAATCATCCGAGGACTGTACGTCGTCCTCTTGCACTGATGGCGCATTGGTCTTTATGCAGTACATCCCACGCTTGTGTAAATGCTTTAGTACAGACCAATCTAGTCTATTCTTTCTGTAAATAGAAGAAGAATAATAAGGCTCTATACTTTTAAAACAAAAATGTTCAATTGCGCATTAACAAAAAATATATTAAATAAATATGTTTATTTTCTTAAAAGACGAAAAGAAATAATAGGCATTCCTTTACTCTACACTAGATAGATTCTAGACTCCATGATAATTTCTGAAATTGTGTCTAATTCATGAATTTTTTTCTTGTTGTGTGCCATAGCGTAATAAATGGTTTTTCTTTCTTACTTCTAAATTCGAATATCTCAATCATATTTGCCTGCCTGACCCCACAGAATTCAACTCGAAAACGAAAGTGATAGTTTACACAAATATAAGTTCAAATGATAAACTTACTTGTCAATTCTAAGTGGATTAATCTCCAGCAGTTGGTTTCTACCATCAATGACAAGAAGTGATGTGGGAGTGTACCAAAGCAGTGAAGCGACGAAATTTCCTTTCATAGCACTTTTAGGAACAGCTGGAATAACACAAGTGGCCACTAGTTTACCCGTCTCTGACCATATTCGAACTCCTCTGAAAATAAAAGATTCCATTCATCACAAACAAATACAAGGAAAAATATCAAAATACAATTAAGTTACTTGACAAAACAACTGACCCAACTTTTCCTATTGATGCAAGCAGATGTTTATGCTCTTGACTAGTGCGACAACTAATTTTGACAGTCTTCACTGAACTTGTTGCTGGTTCAGGCACGGCTTGAGCATTTTCTGCATCAGCTTGTGCAGTTGGACCATCATTGTCACTTTCTACATGGGTCCCATCTAATGCATTAACCAGTGACTCTATACTTGGTTCCGGTTGATTCTTTCTCCTCAATATTTCCTCTTTTAACTTTAAACATTCAGCTAAATAATCAGTTTCTGCAGCTTCCTCCTTCTTTACCTTTACCCTGATACTCTCTGGTTCATACTTTTTATGCCCAAACTCATCATGTTCATGGTCTTTATAGATGTCAAATGTGTCATCCTCCTGTACTACAGACTCAACAAAGCTATCTTCCGGAAGGTTCTTCTCAATTCCAGATTTTTCTAGCTGTTCAGTTTCCTGGTCTGCTTCTCTTCTTATAGCTTGAAGTCGTTCAGCAAGTGACGACTGGACTTCTTTACCTTTATTTACTACGGTTGTGACATATTTTGGGCACCAGCTCAGGTACATTACTGGGTCATCTTGGCCTCGGACTTTGTATAGTAATTTTCCTTTGCCTATAAACAAGGCATGATATGTTGAAATCAAATTCAGCACCATGAAATTTTTGGTAAATCAACTGTTTCTTTTATTATTCTCCACATGACAAGTGTGGGCCAAGTTAAAGTTAGACAAGAATGTAAATTTATACTTACCATGCAAATCAATAAGGAAGACTACACCCTGTTTTGTCCCTACAGCCACCTGCAATGATACATGAGGGGAACATGCCATGCAGGTAGCTCGGAAGGTCTTCATAAAGTGGTTGTACACCTTGGTAACATTTGATGCTAGGTCCCATTTGACTATGTTATTATGAGCTCCAACTGAAACAGCTGTTGTAGCATTACTGTAACCTACTCCAACTAGATCCTGGAAGTAAAGAAATCATCAGTTTAATGGTAAATGCAGCAAATGCTTATTTAAATCCATGTGTACTTCAAATTAAACTGTCAAACACCAAGCTGTCACCGGTGACCGCAACATATTGTTCTATAATTGTGTCTATAATGACGGTACTTGACGAGTTAAATTATATGAAGATTGAAATTGATTTAAATTATAATGAATGCTACTTTTGAATGAGTCCCAGTGTGAATTGAAACTAGTAGAAATTTTGTCAATGGATGTTATAATGTAAGCTATATTATTAATTAATTTTGGTAACAATCCAATGATGAACCGAATCACATCTTTTTTGTGAAATTCACATAAATAGTTATAAATAATATTTAATACTTACTTCACTAACAGTCTTGTGAAATTCGTGGCATTGTGGATCTTTTATTTTCATTTTATCATTTTCCTTTTGTATGAACCATTGTTTCACAGTACCATCTTGAGTACCAGAGACGAAGGACTTTTTTTCTAACCATTCTGGAGATAAGTCCACTGATATAATCCTGTGTGACAGATTACATTTAATAATAATACAATTAAAGTGATGAATGAACACACAAGTAAAACAAAAGAATTTCAGCACTTACTGCTGATTGCTTTACGATGTACAGTATTAAAAGATTAGTATCTCACCTCTCTGAATTTCCAACGAAAAAAACGTGAGCTTGATATTTATCTTTTGCAGCTATAATACCGATATCCTTCGTTTGTGGTTCACAAACACAAATACTTTTACTCGGCCCTCCATAAATAAGCCAGCCATCAGAACTCACAGCCATTACAGACGGGTAGAACCAATTTGGTGATGGTATTAGTATTGATTCATTCATGGTGAAAATTAAAACAAGTGCAACGTTTTCTCAAAACTGAAAATCCGACCGGTAATTTCACAATCACAATACCAATCAATTTCTTTCTTTCACCCGCGAACCGGGAGTCAAAAATTTAAGTACCTGACATGTGCTTGACGTGACACTGACAACACAGACCAGACAGAAAAAAAGTTAAGCCATAGAGCCCATAGATATTAAAAAGCCTAGTGTTCAGTCTAACTACCAATCACAATAAAAATAATAGTATTGTCATTGTCATCATGTCATCATGTCATGTTGTCAAACTTGTCAAAGTGTTGTTTAGCAATCGTCTGAGCTGGTCGAATCGAAGGTTTTTCTGGAAAGTGATCTCCTGGCTGAGGATATTTTGCATTTATTTGTGTTATTAAAGAATTGTTAAGTTTCTCTCATTAGTCACAGTTAAACAAAGTTAAAAAATCATGGCTCACTATAAAGGAGCGGCATCTGAGGCTGGCAGAGCTATGCACCTCATGAAGAAAAGAGAGAAAGCTCAACAAGAAATAGAACTGCGTAAAAAGAAGATTGAGGAAGATTTAAAGATGGTAAACATTGAGAATAAGTTTGCTACACACTACGATGCTGTGGAACAACAACTGAAGAGTTCCACGATTGGTTTAGTTACCCTTGATGAGATGAAAGCAAAACAAGAACACATAGTCAGAGAACGAGAAAAGAAATTAGCACAGAAGAAAGCAGAGAAAGAAAAGGAAAGGCAGAAGGAGATCGAAGCTAAACAAGCACAGAAAAATAAACAAAAGAGACAGGTTGGTAAAGTTTATTATTGTGTAAACTGTAAAATAACACATTGTTTATTTACACTTGTATATGCTCTTTATTTGTCAAGTTTCATCAATCGATTTTTACCTTTAATGTGAATATGAGTAATGTGATGAATAGTGAAGTTGAATGTCCTGAATAAATTCTATGAAACCAACTATACTATTAAAGTCCATATTTAGCATACAAGTTTCAATTAAAGTCCATGTATAGCATCAGTTAACTTTCATCAGTATAACTTTGATCTGAGATCAGTAACTATCCTCAGTAGCCTCAGTACCAGAATGGTTGCAAGTGCAACTGCTGGGCAAGGGGTCTCGGGTTCAATTTTTGAGTCTGGCAAAGTGTTACTGGGTTTTTAAAGAAAAAATCTTAGTAGTAGCACAAAGTCTTGCAATGTCCCTGATATATGGCAATAGGCTCACCACCTATGGGAAAGGTAGGACTCAAAACATAAATAGTGAAAAGTGGGTGTTACATTGGACAGTGGCCATTTAGTGCCTTTGCCTACACCTTCGTCAGTAAATATTAACAGATATTTAAATTCAAAATTATTTCTAGATCCAAGCACTTTCATTTGATTTGAATGAGGAAGAAGAGGAAGAGGAAGAGAAGGAAGTGGAACCTGATGCTGCAGAGGAGTCTTCAGCTGATGAGAAACCACCAGTTGAGGATAAATCTTGGAGGGACAAAGAGGAACCAGTATGTTATATACTTCAAATAGATTCTTAGTAACCCATGGCTTTCCAAAATGTAGATCTATGGGCAATTCTTCTTATTTTCTATTGTTTACTAGCTTCTGCCCGTAACTTCATATGTGCAATCCTGTTTTCTCCTGTTCCCGTACAATTCTCTCAAATATAACAAATACAACAAAAAAAGAATTAATGTAATCGGTCCAGCCATTCATGCGTGATGCCGTGGCCAAGGGAAAAGGGATTTATTTTATATATATAAATCTCGTAGCAGCTGACACAAAGTGTGATTTTGCAACAGATATCTGCAATGTAAACAAACTCATTAGTTACAAAAAAATAAATTAAATCATAACTGTTGTTTCCAAAACTGAATGAAGCAAGAATATTTAATTTTAAACTAGTGCTCTATTAAACTGTCAAACACCAAGCGGTCACCGGTGACCGCAACCTATTGTTCTATAATAACGGTGCTCGACGAGTTAATACAAGGGACAGTATGAAATTAATTTTAGTTTGGAAATAACTTCTGCCAATTATAATGTCAATTGCAGGTGTACAAAAAAATCAAAAAGAATCCAGATGTGGATACATCATTCCTGCCAGACAGAGAGAGAGAGGAAGCCGACTTGAAGTTACGAGAAGAACTCCGTTTAGAATGGGTGATGACACAAGCAAGCCTCAAAGATGAGCCCATCACAGTCACATTCAGCTACTGGGATGGATCAGGTCATAGACGAAATGTTACCTTGAAAAAAGGTAAGGTTTTAATCTTCATTATGTTTTTCATACTTTTACTTGGGTATTACTGCAAATGTCTTTGTATGTAAATAAAAACAAAAGTCAATACTTATTGGATACTCATGAAACTTCACATACATTTGAAGGCACTTACAAGCTTTAAAATAATGTTTAAAGTAAGTCTTTGAACTGTTATTGAGAGTGCTGGGACCAATTGAAGTGTTTTTCTATTCAATGAAATTACCTTTGAGCTATGTATATTTGTGGTTGTGTTATTGCAGAACAAATTTAAAACTAATTCCTAAGAAGCCATGTACAAAATATGATAAGAACCCGCTTAACCGTTTCAAAGATCTAGCAAAACCAAAAACGTTACCCCAGCAGAATTTCGAATAACTTTGCAACCGATGAAAGAGCAAATACAAGATAAGGATCAACATTTACTTCATCTAGACAACTAATTTTATAGCTAGTAATTATATAAATATTCCCATTAGAAAGAAAAAGGTCTGGCTGGGGTAACTTAACCTTTAACTACTGACGTGGGTGTCTCATAGACGGCGTGTTCACGAATATAAGAATTTTCCAAAAAAACGTCCAAATAATTGTATTGTAGCTAAGATTTTAACATATATTTTTTTAAGTTATGCGAAATATTTATATTTTAAGTTTATAGAATTTGAAACAGAAACCGCTGATTTCATCCGAGAACGTTGTATTTTTTGCACTTCCTTGATAGAATTATAATGGACCGATTAGAATACAAGTAAATATTGTGCAAATCAGTAAATACAAGTAATCCATTTCGATTAATTATTAAGGTGTTTGATAGACGTCACGTCACCGTTTATGGTATGAGTAAACCACGTCAGTACTTGAAGGTTAACACCACCAGGAAAAGTTTTTGTGAAATGATTATAAAACTATAAGCGGAACTAAAATGTGTGCAACAATTACAGAAGCCACACAAATAATTGTCTATAAGATTCAAATGACCATTTTCGACAACATCTGGCCTGGGTAAAACACACATTAAGGGTTTGTGCTAACTAAGTATATGAATTAGTATATACACATTTTTCTCAGATTGACACATTTTTTGTCTTTCAGGTAATTCCATATACCAATTCCTTCAAAGATGCCTTGATACTCTGCGCCCTGAGTTCAGTGAACTGAAAACTGTGTCCGCAGACCAGCTTATGTATGTGAAAGAAGATCTCATTTTACCTCACCATTACACATTCTATGATTTTATAGTTACTAAGGTAAGTTATATGGATTCTCTACGTTCATCTTTATGTTCTGTTCATTTGTGGTTTTATACTTAAATGTCAATTTAGTGAAAAAATTAATTATTAAATCCCCTGTACTTGATTCTTTGTGAAATGCGAAAATGTTTAAGAAAATAATTGTTCAGTAATTTTTGAGATCATTCTTCACAGACAAACAGTCACTATTTGGTAATCCTCTTGATAATGACAACAACATAATAAATATGTATATTATTAGTATATCAGGCGTCTAGATGCCTAGGAGATGCCTAATAATATTCTGATATTGTTGTCGCGGATTACTTAACGGGTTACCGGGCTCCGGTTAGACGTGCAGGAGCAGGAATGGGGTGGTTTTTAGACAGTAAGAGTGACACTCCCTCCCGCCTCACCCAGGCGGGAGCAGCCATTTGATGATTTTCCCCCTTAAAAAAAATACTGATACTGTACAACATCATGATAATGGATATCTAGATAATATGCAGGAATCTAATTAATTTTAATATTACAGGCCAGAGGAAAAAGTGGTCCTCTATTCCAATTTGATGCTTCCGATGATGTCAGACTTGTAAATGATGCCACACAAGAAAAACAGGATTCCCATGCTGGAAAAGTGTTACTGAGGTAAGGAAATATATAATTCTGGTGATACCAGGATTTAATGATTTGAACAACTTCAAATACTTAATTTCATGTGCTCTCTGGAGCAGAAGTAAATAATTTACTTGATTATACATTTAACATTCTAATCTCCTTTAGAGGATAAAAAGTACTTTCAACTTTTAGTTCTTTGTTTAAATGCAAAGTATTACATTAACTTATTACAGGTCCTGGTATGAAAGAAACAAGCACATCTTCCCTGCTTCTAGATGGGAGCCCTATGATCCGACAAAAACATATTCCAAATACACAATCAAGGGAAAATGAAACCGCCATACCTTATATTAAGTTACCATGAAGCTGCAACCAGTTGGACGATTAAAGGCAATAATACCAACGAATGTTATAAATAAATAAATTATGTGTATTTGTTTGTAGTTATACAAGTTTTTTATTTTATCTTTACCTAGCTTTTTATGGAATATAACAACAATATTTGCCACAAATTATTGTACTTCACATCTTTGCAACACCCTGTTGAGAGATATTACTTCGGTAATAAAATATTGTAGCATTTGATTTAAACAACAATATAAATTTTGTATAATAAATGAAAAATAACTAACAAGAACAACTTAGTTGATCGCAGTAAAATACATAAATTACAACAAAGATAAAATTATGATAAAATATTCTAATAAATAAAATTATATGCTTGAATAAAAAGACAGGAAAATAACAATATTACTAATAATTTAAATTAAATTGTTCGACAGCAGCTCGTTTTAACTATGCATATAATGAACAATTGACTATTTTCTCAATATGCTGCCATCTTTGGCTTTCTAACTTTTCCAAAAACCGTTTCTTTGTGTCACTGAGATGTTCTGGCTGTTTGGGTGATGGAGCGTATCTTTGGAAGTGTATTATGGCTGCCAAAAGATTCCAAATACTGAACTCCGGCCATAGAACTTCCGTAAAATACAGCACAGTGTTGGAAACCTAAAAAATAATAAGTATGTAAAATCTATTTGACTTTGATGATTTCACAAACATTATCATAACGGATTATACAGACACATACGAAAATAAACAAAAACGTGAGTGGATGAAGGTGTTATGTCTTCTTTATATTTAATACTGGCTTCTGACCGCTACTTCATCCACGTTCCCGTGGGAAAAAAGGCTTTGTTCTATTCCAGACCATAATCTGTCTCTGTTCCAAATTTCATACCAATCCATTCAGTCTTTTTGATGCAATTGAGTAACAAACATACACACACACTTACGCTTTTATAATATTAAGTAAGATGGTACGATGAAATCTGAAGATTCCATAACTTACAGGTGACACAAAAACCTTCGTTGATGACAAAAAAACCCACATTAAAAATAATGTGACATAACATGCGAGACCTTCATACATGAGGGACATTATGAAGCAGCCAAGCATCTAGCTGTTCTATATTTCACTGGGACACCAGTCGCCACTACCAACTAAAAACACAACTTTAAAGTTCGGGAGAGCCATGAAGAGGCATGAATGGGCCGGCTCGACCGGAGTGATACCACGGCCTCACAGAAGATCGACGTGAAACAACGTTGTGTTGTGTTTCGTCGCGTGAGTGAGATAACCGGAGGCCCAATTACCCCCCCCCCCCCTCCTTTCCCCAATCCCTGAATCCCTAACAATCCTCAAATTCCTAATCCAAAAGGCCGGTAAAGCACCTGTAACGCCTCTGGCGATTCAGGTGTCTATGGGCGACGCCGATTGCTTACCATCAGGTGTCTGCTCGTTTACCGGCTTACCCCAATAAAAAAAAAATGTATAGAGCGCTATAGAGAGGTACTCACCTGGTGAAGGCTTGATTGAGCAACCAAGTGGACACCATATATGTGGTCAAATATAGCCCTTACATATCTGTTGTACTCACCTGCCATAACATAAAGTCGGACAATCTCACTTCGCCTGATGTCCTCACAAGAAGTTCAGCTTCCCTTAACTCTAGGATTTTTGATACAAGCTCATCATCAATGTCTTCTGGTGGTAAATCATTGTTTTTCACTCCATCTACTATATGAGATGCAGCTCTACTGATTTCATCCCTACCTGAAAATTGTTATAAAAATTAAATATTATTAAACCTTCGCTAGACATACAATTCGTAATCTTATCTTATAGTATTATACTAGCTGTGCCAGCGACTTCGTCCGCATGGAAGAGTGATTTACAGCTCCTCTCCCGTAAGTGATAGCTGATAATATGTGGTCTATATGTTGACCCGACCCGTTAGTAATATTCATGCGAAATTCGAGGTATATCCGTGGTGTGCGTTACCCAGGCCAGATGTTGTCGAAAATGGTAATTTTAATCTTATAGATCAGGGGTTCCCAAAGTGTGCGCTGCGGCGCCCTAGTGCGCCGTAGAAAGTAAACAGCGGCGCCATAAGTGAATTCTCTAATTATTGAACACCACAAATGTTGGCGGATACTTTTATGATCAATGTGGAGCAAGAAATGAGAGTACCAGTGTGAAGTCTATTTCCCCCCTTAAAAAAACCGTTCGGACTAAATCATTAAGCTCGCCCTTCACATTGATTTGACTGAGTAAATATCGTATTTAATTTTTTGCTTTTTCTTAAGGGTGTGTTGTTTTCCGTTTAAATAATTTTATAATAAAAAAGTCAATTTCATATTGTGGTGTTTTAATTTTCGTTACGATCGACCTAACCTAACTACTTTATTGTAGGTACCTATTTCTTTCGACTGTTTCCTCAAATAGTTAGCTAGGATAGGGCGCCGTCAAAAATATTCAACTTGTAACTGTGCCGCGGGTTACAATAGATTGGGAACCCCTGTTATAGATAATTAGTTTTGGGCCTTCTGTAATTATTGCGCACATTTTTAAATTAATTGCGCTTATAGTTTTTAATTATTTCACAAAAACAATTCCTGCTGGGGTAACGTTACCCCAGCCAGACTTTTTTCTTTCTAATGGGAATATTTAAATAATTACTAGCTATAAAATTAGTTGTCTAGATAAAGTAAATGTTGTGTTTTATTTTGTATTCATTCTTTCATCGGTTGCGAAGTTATTCGAAATTCTGCTGGGGTAACGTTTTTGGTTTTGCTAGATCTTTGAAATGTGTAAGCGGATTATTATCATATTTTGTACATGGCTTTTAAGGAATTAGTTTAAATTAGTTCTGCAATAAAAAAACCACATCAAAGATCTAGCTAAACCAAAAACGTTACCCCAGCAAAATCTCGAATAACTTCGCAACCGATGAAAGAACAAATACAAAATAAGGCACAACATTTACCTACTTCATATCGACAACTAATTTTATAGCTAGTAATTATTTAAATATTCCCATTAGAAAAAAAAAGGTCTGGCTGGGGTAACATTACCCCAGCAGGAAATATAAAAATGTGCGCAACAATTAAAGAAGTCGCAAAACTATAAAATTCAAATGACCATTTTCGACAACATCTGGCCTGGGTAACGGACACAAATCCGTGCAGCACTTTATGAGTTCATCTCGGACATACTTATAGACAAACAGATCTAACAGATACAAATACTAAAAACCATATTTTTAGCTTCAGTATCGATTATAGATCACGCCCCAAACATTCTTTTATAAAAATATTCAATGTACAGTTTTGACTTTCCTACGATTTTATTATTTGTATAGATAAAGCTGAAGTGTTTGTTTGAACACGCTAGTCGCCAAAACTAGTAGGCCAGGCTAAAGGCTATAAAACATGCTATAACCAATAGGAGCCGAGTCGAGCGGGTGAAGCCGCGTGGACGTAGCTAATTAATTTTATGTGGATTTTTTTTTAATATTAGCAGAAAAACAGTTCTGGGCTTGGCTGGGTCAAATTTGATTTTGAATGTTTTAGACTTCAAGGACCTAAAACACATTACTTTGAAAAAATATACTAATAACGAATTAAATAGGAAGCATACCTGTATAGGCATAAGCAATATTAAGTCTAAGCTTATTGTTATGCTTTGTTGCCAGCATAGACTTCGATACTAGCGCTTGCAAATCCTCTGGTAGTAAAGAGAGCCTGCCTGCAATATGTATCCTCACACCCCACTCGTTGATTTGATCACTGTTAAAAGGATAAATAATGATTAAACTATGTTTCCCTAATTAATCATAATAATATTTAGTACAAAGGACAGGAAATTACCAAAATAATCTAATACATAAATTAACCTATGAAGTGTCTTATGCACATAAAATGATATGATATGATTATGTTTACTGTCAGTTTATAGGCCTTTTAAAAGCAAGGAATAATCTAGTAAGTGGCTATTTTCTGAATAGAATTGGAACTGATTATATATGATTATATTAGTTCATAAGTAATTTTTCTCTAGTTGAAATAAGAATAACAAAAATAATATTAGTCAAACCAGAATAAATTAGATTTTATAAATCAAATATATAAAAAAACTTACATTTCATCCATTAATCTTCGGAACTTGTCTCTAGCTAAATCCATAAGACCATCAACTTCTTCTTTACTTCTTTTAAAGTTTTCAATACTGAACGCATACACTGTTACTTCTGGGATCCCTAGGTCCAGGCACCACTGATATTTAACAAAGACAAAACCATTAATCTTCTATATATACAAAATTTATTTCCATTAAAACTCGAGAACCGCTTAACGGATTTGGCTAATTGTGGTCTTGAAATGTTAGTTTTTTAGGCAGTATGAAGTTTATCGAGTTAGCTAGTTATAAATAAAATAAATTAAATAATAAGGAAAATAAAATTAAAACACAGGGGTTTTCACAGAATTCAATATGATTAAAACAGTAATGAGGTCAGTTTAGCAATTGTGTCAGAGAATAACATGAAACCTTCACAAGTAATAGTAAATCTATCATAACACAATGTCACATTTTGTTACGTCAACTTTTTTGCAATAATGATTATGAGATGGGAGGGTAGGTGATTGAACATTATATTATTTGGTATAAAAGAACTTATTGAATCAAAGACCACAAAAATATACAAGTAATTATAACAAGATACTTCTAAAGAAATATAGAAACAAAGTTTTATAGTAAGCTCCAAGAGGCCAACAATTATGAATTAATTAAGAGCTAAAATAAATTGTAAACCTCACCCTCAAAGTTTCGGACAGCTTATCAAAGCCTTTATAATGTCCAGCACTGTTGTCGACGCTGTTCTTTTTCGCATATCGACGGTTACCATCCATAATAAAAGCGACATGTTTCGGGATACGACCGGTCTTCACAACTTTTATACAAAACATTTGAAAGAAAGACAGACAATTCTCTCTGACCCAAGACATTGTACAATGAACAAGTAATAGTTCAGTAATGTTGGTGAAATAATTCTAAATATGATTCTCTTTAAAACCACGTCAGTTTTACACTACTGTCCTATCGGTTGACTTGTATGTACTTATTAAAATTACGCGCACTATCAAAGTAGTATGTGTAATAATAACGTAATTGAATATAATTAAAGTTTTAAAGTTGAATACATAATTTAACTACTTTTAATTATTTCGGTTTTTAGCAGCTCGGTACGAAGCTGTATGCATATTTCCTGTTGACATGATATGTCAATGTCAAGTCCGCTCAAAGTCACGATTTTCCTGTGACGTCAATTGTTTTGACAGTTACGAGGTCCTACCAACCTCATGTACAATGTAATTTAGGGCAATATGGCATGGTTTGTAGACTTAAATACAATTTACATCAAAATACGTTTTCAATAACATTAATATTTACGAATCTCATGTAAATTCTGATAACCTTGGTTGAATTGAACGCCGCAAAGAAGGGACACATTGGCAACATTGTTCGTGATTGTGAGGGAAAATTGAATGATTGAAATATTTGATGACAACATTGACAGAAACTGTCATCTCCCGGAATCGTCTTGCCTCTTGGATAGGTTAATTTGTTTGTTAGAAAAATCCTATTAGAAATACCAATATATTATTATGAGTAATATATTTAAGCTGAAATTAACTGCTCTAGGCCATCCTAATCCAGGAGACTTCAATTGCGAGGGTAATTATATCACAACAACAGCTTGAAAGTGTCGTTTCCTACGCGTCGATTTTACACAATTTGTTTTATTTTACAGATGAAAAGGAATACAGAAGCGTAATTTTGTGGCTAGAGGATCAGAAAATCAGGCATTATAAGATAGAGGAGCGGGATGGTTTGAGAAATATAGAGAAGGATAGTTGGAAGGACGCTTTCAATACTTACCAGAAGGATTTAGTAAGCCCAGTCTTAGAGGGCACTCCAAATGAACAATTAAATTGGCTTCTCTCATATGCTGTGAGATTAGAGTACGCGGATAATGGTATGTAGCTATAATTTAAATTTTTCAATTGTACTTCCTTATTATTAGGCCTTGTTGCAGGAAAATCCAGCAACCCATATTGCACACTATTGCATGATGCTAATTGACCACCCATATTTTAGGGTACCCATAAATATATTTGTTAGTTCAGTTTACCTAATGAAAGGCCTATTAATTTTTATGGTATTCTTAAAAATAATATACCTAACTAAAAACATACATTTTTCATATCCAAAAAGTTATCATGATTATTACTCATATCTTGCATAACATTTTATTTCAGTTGAAAAGTACAAGAATGCAAAGGTGGCAAAACCAAAGCAGGCTGCACCCAATGTTGTATCCTCTAATCCCTTGGATAACCTTGACTGTGAGTATAAGAAATAAAATTGATTGTTTGTTACCCTTATATAGACCTTATCTAGTCAACCAATATTTATGAAGGAGTTTGGAGAAGAACAGTAATTCACTTGAGCAAGGTGCCACCACTGATGTTGGGTCTCTATATTATATTTCTTTTTCTCTTACAGTTTCAAGTCCAGCATTCAAGGCAGGTGTAGAAAGAGTCTGCACATTAGCTGGAGTCGGACCTCACCCAGACCCTAAATTCCGGCTGGCAGCCCTAGCCAACATTCTAAAGACCACACCACACCCAGAACCACCCCCAACTGAGGCCAATTTAATACAACAGCCATCTGACGTCCTGAAGCTACTGTTTGTTCAAGATCTTAGAGATTTACAGACCAAGATCAATGAATCATTGGTTGCCGTCCAAACTGTAACTGCTGATCCAAGAACTGATACTACACTTGGAAGAGTTGGTAGATAAGTTGTAATAAATCAGTTTGGGCATCTTTTTGAACTTAATGATCTTGTCTATTACACTGGCTGAAGATAATTATTGCAATTTTATAAACTCATTTCTTGTATCTTTGTTATATAGAAGATGCCCAAAAATCTTAATTTACAAATGATTATTAATGTGCTGTCACTGATCACCACATTGATTTATGTCTTGTAAATTTTAACCCTTTAACCGCCAAGATTCTGAACTTTCAACTTAGGCTGGTTTTACAGTCACGCCGCTAGACGCGCCGTTGGACAGCGCGCTGTTGGACAGCGCGCGTTTGAACAGCGGTGCACCATAAAACGACATTAGTACGGCGCGTTTCGCTGCTGTGAGACAGTCGTGTACAAACAGATACAAAATGAACGGCAATGCGGTTAGAGTACTGGCTATTTACTTTTTATGGAAAAAAAGGCAACAAAAACGTCGAAGAACAGTAGGTGTTGATCCTTATAACGCTACAAGGTTACTGAGAGGCGAACACGTAACATCTTTCTCTGATTTACGAGAAAATAGTTATAAATTTTATAAATATTTTCGCCTATCAACCAGCAGTTTCGACGAATTACTGTGCAAGTTAGAGTTTTCTTATAAAAATCATCGGCCGGGTCCCATAAACATCTTCTAATTCGCACTTCGTCAATTACTCGACCCGTATCGATGTGATTCATTTTGTACACAACAGTACCTAACGGCACGTCTCAACGGCGTGAGACTAAAACGCACAATGGCCGTAGAAGCGCACGAGCGGCGCGCGCTTCGACCGCGCCGCGCGAATAGGACGCGTTCAACGAACGGCGCTGCTCAAGCGCGCGAATTTGAAACGCTACTAATACCCCAATACATATCCGAGCGCGCGCGCTCCGACGGCGCTGCCGAAACGCGTGACTGTAAAACCAGCCT